TGACAGGCTGCTTTGAGCTGTTTGCATTATGGAGCAAAAGCAAAAATAAAGCCACTGAAGAAGGAACTCTTCTACCATCCCTTCTATTCTCGAGAAGCCTCCTCATCACCCTGGAAAAACCACACTTATCCTTAATGTGGAGACAAGAAAGGGAAATAAGGTAATTCTTTGCACAGTTATGAGCAGAAATGGAAGAAAAAGCATGAAGGACAAAGATAAACTCTGGTTCTCAGAGGCACACTGAGAATAGGATTCTTCTTTTCGTATTTTAAAATGTCTTTTCACGTTGTAACATTTCATTATGTGCATTCAAAGTTAGAAAACACACTACTGAGTCAGTTTTTGCAACTCAATCTCAACTAAAAAATTGAACATTCACATCATAGGCACAAAGATGGTCTAGAAAGTGAACTAGATATTTCTAGCATTCATTGCAACATGTACATATTCTGACTTACTGCTGCAGAATAAATATGGACAATTCCCTACTAACAGAACTTTTTTTCCATTACTTTTATTGGTACATTTTAGGTCTACAGTATGCTGACATTCATTATTGGGAATTTGTACCTTTACATAATATATCTCAGTTCTTATTTTTTCCCTATTCCCCTGCCCTTCGTTCAACTCCACCACCCTTCGCTATTTACAAAGACTTGGTTTCCATTTTTTTCCTTTTCTCATATATCTTCCTTTCCCCTACCCCTTCCACTTTTCCTTCTCCTTTGGACTTTTTCTTCCTATTTCACATTATCTAATATACATTTTAATCCTTATTTACTATTAAGTGAAATAAATAGGACATACATATGTAATACAACTTTCACAAGGCATTTTTTTAGGGACCGGGATTTAGCTCAGTGGTTCCACCACTTGCCTCAAAAGCTCAAGGTTCTGAGTTGGATCCCCGGTAACAACAAAAAAAAGGCATTTTCTTTGAATTGTATCTTTTGAATTACATATAATTTTCATTATATATATATATAATTATATCTTTTCAAATTATAAATTGTTCATATATAAGTATTTCACTTGTGCATTTTCTTCTAAGTAAATTAAAAATTTATTCAGAATATTTTTGTATGCACTGAGGTTTGAAAGGTTTCATTAAGAAATTATTTTGAAAATAAATTTATACCTATTTAAAAGTAAAACTAAATTATGGTCTCCAGGTGCATCCATTTTCCTACAAATGACTCAAGATTACTTTTCTTTATGGCAGAGTAGTACTCCGTTGTGTGTAAATATCATATTTTCTTTATCTATTCTTCTGGTGAACATATAGACTGCTTCCAAGATTTAGCTATACACGTGAGTATGCATGGATGTACCTTGAGACATAATGTTAAGTGAAATAAATCAGACTTACAAGTTTAAATATTGCATGGTTTCTCTGATTTGAGAAATCCAATTTGTAAATAAAAAGCAAAATAAAAGATAATAGGAAGTAGGAAGATAGATCTTTCTCAAACAGGAAGAGGATCAAAAGATGGAGGTTGTGAGAGGAGAGGGAAAGCTGATGAAAAGGAACTGAGATGTGTTATGTACATGTACCAACTCCACAGAATGAATGTAAACAGTATGTATTGCAAACACATACTTACATAAAGTAAAGCTAAATTGTCCAGTTTATATTTGATTTGTACCCAATACAATTTTCCCTTTTATAATCATAAACTTATTTATACATTATTTGTAAAAATGTTCTTACACATGTTTGGACTCTAAATGCTGAATGGTATTTCCTCTTGAATGTAATAAAAATCTCCATTCTTTGGTGAATAATTGATGTGTGAAATATTTTGAGTCTAGTGCCTACATTCCAGCTATATAAAGTTTTGAATATGGCTGTTTAGCAGGAATTCTAAGTTTATTTCACTAACCTTTTCTACATTTTTAAAAATACGTTTTTGAAACTGGTGATCCTCATATTTTCTTGTTAAATTCACAAGACAGATTTTCTTTTAATATTATTGTATCAAATACTGGAAAAGACACTTGGGCTACTGTCAACTTCTAACCTGTTCAACAGTTATGGAAGAATTTCTATCAGTTTTATTTATCGGGCTTGGCTGTAGAGGAAGATAAAGGAGTGACTCTCAGTTGTATTTATTTATATTCTGTAAAAATATGAATTGCCACAAGGGAAGTTTATTTATCCCAGCTTCTTTTTCCTTTGTGAGTCTCGGGCTTTATTCTGCCCATGCACTGTTCACGTGGACATTCACTACATAGCTGCCAGTAATGCCCATCCATCACTGCAGCTATTGTAAGAACCGCCTGATCTCCGTCTCTCATACGTGGAAGTTAAGAATAAATTGATCTGAATGCAGGACAGTGGTTATGGGACACTGGGAAGGGAGAGGGTGGATAGAAAGAGACTGGATTTGATTAATGCACACTGAATATATGTGTTGAAATATCATCGTGAAATCATGTACAATTAATGTATGTTCATCACAAACAAAAAAAGAAAAGAAAAAGAAAAAAGGAGTATGTAAGTAACAAACAAACCCAGGGAGATGGTGACAGACTACATCTTTCCCTCATCTCTTCAGAGAGATTTTTCTCACAATTCCTAATGCCTAAATGCCATCACTGTGAGTCGTAACACCATGTTTGGTACACTGTAGGTTTCAATAAATATTGCTGAATAAATAAATGAATGTGCTGCTATGATTTTTTTCATAAACAAACAAAGAGGGAAGAAACAGGAGGGAAGAATTGTATTTTATCACTAGAATTAAAGCTCTGCTCTCACCCTGCAACCTCAATCTTCATATTGTTTTAAAAGTGGGTGTGAATAAAGCACAATGACCCATGCCTCTGCTGGACCGAATGGAATGCAAGATGGCTGAGAAACACCTTAGGCGGAATTTCCTGAGCACCATGCTACAGTCACATAAGGTTGTCTGATATCCTGTTCTGCATTTTGTACTGTGTTCATCGAGATGCTTGTTATCTAAAGCTGCCACACACCAGGGCTTTGGGAGAGTGATATGCGTCTGTCTGTAGAAGATTTATAGGAAGTGTTAGTTGGGCATTATACTTGAGAGGTGAGGAAGGTTGAAAACTGATGCAAATTTCAGTGACATACCAAAGAGTTAGGTATTCTCAGTGTATGTCTGAATTATACTTGTGCAGGTCAAACCCATTAATTAAATAATCCCTTAATGGAGAATTTATTTTCTGATGTATATTTGATAAACCAATCCTCCATAGATAAGAGAAGGCACAAAAGCCTTTGTTATTACAAATATGAACAGAACCTACACCTATCCATCCGGAGTGTGCACAATGGAGGAATTGAATCTTGTTTTTTGACTTTCACATCAGGTTGCTGCTTGCTTATTAATGGACCTCCTCTTCCCCTGCAGAAGAAGATAATTCCTTGGCAGTGACTCTCAATTCTTCATTTTAGATTAGGAAGATGATAGTTCACAAATTCACTGCTATTTATTTATTTTTGTTTTTTTGAGACAGGGTCTTGCTGTGTGTCTCAGGCTGGCCTTGAACTCACTATGTAGCCCAGGCTGGACTTGAACTCTTTTGTGATCCTCCTGCCTACACCTCCCAAATGTTGGATTTACAGGCGTGAGCCACCATGCCCAGTTTAGCTGCTGTTTTCAAACTACATTTGCTGCTGTTATTTATAGGAAAACATGAAAGTATTTAGGAGCAGGCACTTTCTTCAGCTGCCTGGAGAGCATCAGATGACTTATGTACAAGCAGCAGCAAATAGACCCTTGATTATCTGAGAGCAGAATAGAAAAATTAAGGGTCATGAGTCGACAGGGCATCAACACAATAAGAAAAGGTGTCCAGATGTAACAGAGTACTGGACAGTTTCCTCATGAGAAAATGACCTTGCTACAAATGAGCTGACACAATAGGTAACTTTCTGCTTCCTTCCTGTTTTTATTAATTACTTTTAAAACCTTGGCTGGTCGAAGAGCCCTTTTCATCTGACTGTACTGTAACTGCAGCAGCAAAACCATCTTGTCCCAGCAGAGCTGATCAGATCTGGAAACCACTTCGCTGAAGCGGGCTGGGATCTTTGTAGCGATTTGGAAAATGAGGATAATATTTATGCCTCCATTACCCACCCAGACACACCCAGAAGTGTTTTATTAATCCCCTGCACAGTTCTCAAGTCAATCAAGTTAACGCACAGTTGAATGCTCACACTACCTCTCTCTTTTAAAGGAAAGAATATTTAAGCAGAATCAGACTGAGAGGTCCAGGAAGAGTAGTGCTTCAGTACTTAAAAAATAAATGCTCTATTTTACTTGCATGATTTTTGCAACTGCTAATCTAGAACAAAATTGCTGACATGTCATAATATGTCATTATGTGGAAAAAAGATATAACTCTAAGAAAGGGCGAGAAAGAGAAGTAATGCCCTGATCATAACAGCCATGGTAATTTTAAGCATCCGCTTATACAGAGAAGTGCATGACTGGATGCTACACAAATGCAGAATATAGCGTAACATTTCATCTCATCTTACTATTATCTACATAGGCCTGACCAATTCACTAAATTATTTGTACCTCATATGATCATTATAAATAGTAGGTGAACTAAGGCACATAAATAACAGAATAGAAAGTGGCACATTTCAGGACTCAATAAAATTAATTCTTACATTAGCCAAATTTATTATCATAGAAAATAAGACATAACTCACACTAATTTTCCCCTGTAAAATCTTTGCCTAATGACTCAGTTGTCTCATATATATATTTTTTTCTTTTTCTATGAATGCCAATGGTTTTTATTGAATGTACTTTTGATTTGGACGTTTCTTGTGTTATAGTTTTATATCTTCATCCTTTGCCCTTGAAAGTTTTCCCCAACACACACAAAAAACACACATATCTTACATTTGATATTTGATGATGATGATTATACTGATAATGATGACGACAGTAAAGATGACACAATCAATGAAAGCCTATAGCCAAAATAAGTACCAGAACTCGAAGCCCAGCTGAAAGTCACATTTTGAGGCGGTGGAACACTCGGACAATGGCTCGGCGGATCTCCTTTGTCTTGGCGCTGTAAATGAGTGGATTTAGCACAGGCGGCACAAAGAGGTAGATATTGGACATGAGGACATGGATGTACCGTGGGATGTGCTTCCCAAAACGATGCACTGTGGAGACCCCAATCATTGGTACATAAAAGGCAAGCACAGCTAGGATATGGGACACACAGGTGTTGAGAGCTTTGAGGCGTTCCTCACGGGAAGCAATGGCCAATACAGAATGCAGAATAAGCATGTAGGAGAGGAAGATAAAGAACAGGTCCATGCCAAAAGTGGATACAAGAACAAAGAGTCCATAGATGCTGTTGATGGTGATATCAGTGCAGGCAAGCTTCATCATATCTGGGTGCAGACAGTAGGAGTGGGAAAGAACATTGGATCTGCAGATAGGAAGCCTCTTGATGAGGAAGGGAAGAGGGAAGAGGGTGATAAAGCTCCGAGCAGTGACTGCTAAGCCCATCCCAGCAATGACTTTATTGGTGAGCACAGTAGCATAGCGCAATGGATCACAAATGGCCACATAGCGGTCGAAGCTCATGGCCAGCAGAATACCTGACTCCGTCATGGAGAAAGAGTGAATGAGAAACATCTGGATTAGGCAGGCATCAAAAGCAATGTTGTGGGCATCAAGGCAGAAGGTTCTGAATACAGTGGGCAGTGTGGCCATGGCCATGGCCATGTCACTGAAGGATAACATGGACAGAAAGTAGTACATGGGTGCATGGAGGCCAGGTTCTGTTCCCACAGCCAGCAGCACCACTGTGTTTCCCCCAAGGGCCACTACATACATCACACAGAGGGGCCCGGCCAGCCAGGGATGCAAGCTTTCCAGACCAGGGATTCCAGTCAGGAGGAAGGAAACGGGGTGAGTGACATTGAACAACCCCATGTCAGCAAGAATCCAGGGCACTTCTCAGGGTCAGATGTTCTGATTTGGAAAACTCTGATGGATGTTTCTATTGGAAAACCAGAAACCAGGAAGGGGGGATAAAAGAGATGCAGCCTCCACAGTTGGAATCTGATGCATTTATGAAATCAAGGGTTTTGGGATAAGGCAGGCAAAATTCCTTTCTTCATATTTTATGATTATCAGACCACAGGAAGGGCTAATATTTCTCCTATGGAAAAAGAAAGACAATGCCTAATAATTCAAAAATATCAAATAATTATGAGGAAAGTATTTCCACCACATTATTTCCATTTCTCATGTATTTTAGAATCACTATAAAGTGAAAATGTATTATTTATAGACAGGTATTGTAGAAAGAAATCAAGAGTTAGAGTCATCAATAACTCTTGGAAGTGTTTAAATAATTCCTCAAAAGTGTTGTTTAATTCAGATGTGTTGCTAATTAATGAGAGAATTTCCCATTTGAATCATAATGATGCTTAAAGACAAGGGACATTGGGGTGTGGAGGGAATTGATTACCTCTGTATATTACTTTTTGTTGGCAGAGTTGCAAAATGTGGCAATACAAATGACAAAAAATATATTTGCAAAGCCTCAAAGCTTGTTCTCATTTTGGAAAAATCATGTATGGTAAATATCTTGTAGGTAGGGACATTCAGTCTGTAGGAGAGCCTTTTCTCACACCTGTGCATAGCCACATGTGCTGTCACAATGGTCAGTATTCACAGGAACATTCATTCTCCTTCATGCCAGCCTTACACTGGATTTCACTTGTTCTCTAAAAACACACTCTCTCACATGCATTCTCTCTATCTCTCAGCATTTCTTATTGTGCCCGTGACTCACACACATTTTCTCAACCTTCATTTTTTATGTACACGTGACTTTTCATACTTGTACTGTCACTCTACAGTGACATATATACCTAACTCATGTCGATACTCTCAGTGTACACATGATGTGTACACTCATAAACACTTCTCTCTGCCGCTTGACCATGACATTAACGGACTTACTTTAGTAGGAACTTTTTTTAACCCTCATGTATTGTACTTAATTGCAGTTTTTCTCATCATGGCACTCATGTGTTACCGAATTTTTACAGCCATTTTACTCTAAGAGCAACCACATTGTTAATTCTCCTGTCATGCAGATGGTTTTGGAAGGCTCTCATATTCCTTGCCTTGTGTTAGATACTGATAGAGAAAGCTAAAAGATTTTCCCCCTGGCAGACATATTTCAGGCATACAATGCCCCTTCCTTTGGAAAGACATGTACAAACAAGTATGTAATAAAATATATCCCACTGTCTTCCTTCTTCCTCCCCAAACTCTAAAGAAGCAATATCACACTATCTTTCACAATCCTTTCTGGTGGGAGTGGATAAGGAAGGGATTCTGGGAGTCTTAGGTATCTGAACTGACAAGAGGTGATGGAATGGTATGCAATGTGTCATTGTCACTTTAGGAGGCATTCCTAGAATTTCCTAGGCAAGACCCAACTCATGTATCCCGTGGTTCCCCACAAGGCAATGGGCACTCTTCCTTTTGTGTTTACATTGATGTCACACTTCTGGGGCTCTAGCTCTGTCAGTACCTATATCATTCCTTCAGAATTGTGATTATTTGTGTTCTAGGACTGGTCAACCTGACTCGGTTCTTGTTTCTCCCAGCTGGGTACCTCCCCATTCCTTGTAAAGAGCCGTAGAGAAGGTGATCAGCAGACATAGAAGAGAACTGGGCTAATATAAAGGAAACAGAAAAAGTAGGGAGAGAGAAGTCTTCTATCAGGACTCTGTGCAGGGAAGGGCCAAATTCATTCTGAGTCTGAGGACAAACATTTTAGAATTTTGGGGAAAAAATTATGCCTGACACTCCTAGGATCACACTCCTCCCCATAATTTTGTATCACTAACACTGTGGGTTTTTGGAATGATTGTGAAGAAAGGAATACAGAGATGGAAAACAAATACTTTTTTTGTGTGTGTGTGCCAGGGATTGAACTCAGCACCTTGCAGCTGTGAGGCAGGCATGTTGCCACTGAGGTAAATTCCCAGCCCACAAATACTTTCAGGACAGATGCAGAAACTGGCTCAGTGAGATTAGCTTGCTTTATAGCTCATTGCAGCTAGGTGATAAAACCCAAATTTGCATCAATATCTGAGACATGCTCCTCTTTTACATAGTTCTTTGAGACAACACTAAGGTATTGGAAAGAAGGCAACAAGGAAAATAGAAGTGTGCATTTCTGGATGGAGGTTTCTCAGGTTTCTCTGAACAATGGCGTTGCTCAGGGAGTGGCTCAAGGTAGATGTCTGTGACAAAAATGATGCAAAAAGTACATACACCAAGGCTGGAGTCAATTTCCTCTTCTCTGGGAATCCAAAACATTAATGTTATTGAAGCAATATAGGAGGCAGGGTGGTTTAAGGGAAAGGGTCCTCGGATGGTGCTGGAGAACTGCTGGGTTTTACCCTGGCTCGGGATCTGTGAGCCTGGAAAAATCTTTTTTTGAAGCTATGTCTTCCTTAAGACTCAATTTAAAAGATGGCTAAGGTTTTTTATGACATGGATAATCTTTCATTGTGTTTTACTTTTTAATGTTCCGTCAAGCAATATCAGAGCTTTCCAGGATGAAGAAAGGAATAAAAAAAAAAGTACAGGTTGTATGTACAGTAGAAAGGTTTGTCTAAAGATCACAGTTTTCAACTTATACCATAGATATGGTTAGCTATTCATGGTTCATATGAAGTCATGACTAGCTGATCACTCTTATTCTTTTAATGTCCAGGGGACTTTTGCATACTTTTTATTGCAGAATTTATAACACAAGAATAAAGCTAGACCATATGTACCTCTGCTGTTAGATTGAATCAGGAATGTCTATACCTTTTCTGAGTCCTAAGTCCTGCTCCCCCTCAAATTCATAGCAATATTAATGAATCATAGAAGCTTCAGCTTTTCAAGCTTGTATTCCCAAAGGAATTGATAATGGCAAATGAGTGATCTAAAGAATTACACTGTATTTCTTTTGTGCCAAAAGAAGAATTCTAAGTCCAAGGAACATTCCATCTATTCTTCTCATGCTACTTAGATGGTGCTGTCAGATACCCGCCACCTGCTCTCTCCCGCCTCTACCTGCCTTTCTTGGAACAGCCTTGGAGAAATCAGCAAGCTCATCCCATAGGCTTTTAGGACTCACCGGCAGACAACAGATGAGGGACTCCCGCAGAGCATCATGCCCTTCTGTCCATGGAAGTAAACTCATGCCTGCCATTTTTATATTTCACTCTAAGCCCCAGAGACAGAGATAATACTCATGCTGATTTTGTGTTTGAAAATTCTTCAGGGAAGTTTCAGTCTCCTGAGATCTTTAATAATTGCTGCCAACAAATCATATGCTCTTTTAGCCTAAAATGAACCAGCAGCTTGGAGACCAACTTTCTACCAAACTTTATCATATTAAATTATCTGGAGATAGATAAGCAGACATTATGAGAGAGGAGCTTATTAGCTCCTAAAAGAGCACAGGTTTATGCAACATGTAAAATATAAAGTCAACAAATGAGATGCAAACAGAGACCCATGAATTTTATTCTCATTTTTTTTTTGGTACTGGGGATTGAACTTGGAACCTTGCACTTGCGAGGTAGGTGGCAGAACCACTGAGCTAAATCCCCAGCCCCTCTCATCTTTTTAAGTATATTGAGTGAGTCTAGGTCTTTTTAATCCTAGATTAAAACTCAATCCTGAATGTTTTCTGTTCACATTAAGATAATAAAATAAACTCTGGTGAGGGATTAGAATGCCAACTTCACACAATTGTTTGATTGCTCCTCATCAAGAGTTGCAGCCACCCCTTCTCCTAGTCATCACTTGCTAGCCATGGTTCCTGGCTTCTTCAGGATGAAAGCCATGTGGAAGTGGAAGTCCATACTTCAGTGGTGCTGAAGTTAACTCTATTATGGTTAGCAGTCTATTCAATATTTACAGCTGGCTCTTACTTTTTGGTGCTTTCATAGATTATTCAAAAGAAGCTACACCTCATCTTTTTCTTGTCCTCTCCTTATTTACATTACTGAATCTGTGCTCTCTAGGGTTGTTTGATTCCATCCATAACTTAGGTTCTCTTTTAGGGCCATATACTCTTTTGGACAGGATTGAATAACATGCCATGTAGCTCCCTCTGGAACGTAACTCATTTAGGAACCAGAAAGAGTTCCTTGGTCAAAACAAACGTAATCCTCTCACACAGTAATCATTTCTCATTCAATTCTGCTATCAAAGGATAGAACATTTCATCAGTTTTTGATTTTATTCATTTAGATTTAATATGTTCTAAAAGTGCTTTATATTTAGTGATGTTTTTAATTCATATATGAGTCATGGTATAACCCATGGGGGCTCTGTTATGGTCCAATCAGAATATAAAGACCACAGAATTACTATAATTGAGAGAAATTAAAGTACATTATTGTTGACCAAGTGGGCACACAAGCTATAAAGGGAATACAAAGGTATGAGTATAGCAACTTCAGAAAGTAGCTTCTAATTCTAGGGCTGGATATGCAAAAGGAAAGACTTGGAATTATTAAATCTCACCAGCTTGGAAGAGTAGCACTGGAAAAACGTGAAATCAAACACTTGAAGAGTGCACATTGTTTAGGTGGTTCTGGGGTTTTGAGATGAGAGGAGAGGCCAGCTATCAAGACTTACTCTCCTAAGACAAGATTGTCGGGGAGATTTCTATGACTTTTTCTGAGCCTGAAGAGGGCCTTAGGAGATGGGTTCTGGAAATGTTGGAAAGCTGCAAAATGAAACCAAGTAGTAAAGTTGTTGGAATTAACCATTTCTGCTTGAAAAAAGTGTGGCTTGAGTAATATAGCAACAGAAAACAAATAGGAGGGTACAGGTCCTTTGTACATGCCACAGTTCTATAGTGGCCCCTATGGTTCTTGGGAACTGGTTAGTAAAAGAGA